AGGAACCTGATGTCAGGGCTAGATTTCTCTCACACCATCTATTGTTACAACTATTACTCTCCACAGTACAAAACTGGACACAGCCCAACAGACGTGAAAGGCGATCTGGTATCTCTTACCTTTTTGCCCAGACATCGCTGCAGCTGTGCTGTTTCAGCATTATTTGGCTTAGCTCCAAACCGTCGCGGTGTGGCCGTATGCTGTTTATTACAGTGGTTGACATGGAGACCTGTTTTGAATACAGATGAGCTGTAGTCATTTAGTAGGCGACTTTTTTTTGGTTAGTTAATCAAGCTAGTTGTTCTGTCATTTCCGTGCTGGATTTCAAAGAAAAAGGATTAAGGATTCGCGATGCGTAAACGAGGAATCTGCCCCTTGTTCTTGATCTCTGCAGAAACATTGGGATCAACATTGGGGGGATTTTTTCACGCAGATACCAGGTGAAGCTGAGGATGGATTGCGTCCATACAGCAGAGAGGCGTGACGTGGTTTAATTTTAATGACATTGTAACACACTGAGCCCCCTTAAATGCACAGCTCTACCACATGCTCGTAACATGTCTCCGTTCCTGTCGCATTATCCCAGAAATGACCGCGAACAGACCCTCTGTTTGCCTAAAAAAAAGGGGATTGAATGTGTTTGAACATGTTGAAAACGATATAAGCAAGTCTAAGAGGGAAATGTTTGTCTCCGCTCAAAAAACAGTTGCTGGCTACGCTTAGTTGTTTCTGGGCCGAGTCGCTCTTCGTTGTTATCATAACACCAAGAGTGACTCATTGAAGAGAAATGATGCCAAAATGTTTGATCTGTACACAACCGGTAACTGTTGCCAGAGAGCAATAGCAATAGTTCTATAAGTGAATTGATTGCTGATTTTATATTGCTTATCCCTAGCAAATAATGTTCTGTATATGTGGTGTTTATTTTGAGTCACACAATGTTAGTTTAGTCTTATCCATTACTGATTATTTCCAGTTTAAAAGAATAAACAATCTGCTAATTAAGAAATAAGGTCAGCTGTCAAAAAGTGCTGAATGTTAGTTTTATGAGCAGATTCTAGTGTTTCTAATCCCTAATCCCAGAGTGTATGGAACTTTAAATCCAGCAGTTTACCAAGCAATATGCCTTACAAATGTCTTCAGACCTACACACAGTTTTCCTATTTTATTGTTTTAGATCTGGCACAGCATTTTCAAGAAGCAAGTAATATGTGTTATATACAGAATCCGTACAACACATTAAAAAATGAAAGTAAAAAAATATATAATACGAAAGACAAAAGAAGATGTAATGACTGCATGAGTACTCATACTTGCAGCTAACATACTCTCATACTCAGACATGATACTCATTAATGTCATCATAGTTCAGGTGGGAGCAGCCTAATAAACCTATTACTTGTTCCTTAATGTCCTCATGTCCAGTATAAAGGTTATTAATCTTAAATTAACAGGGTTTTCCTTCTTTTAGATGAAGAGAAGAAGTCTGTGCCCCGGAGTTTCAAATCCTGTTCCACAGCCTCAGGCCAGGACACATGTTCAAGTGAGTTTACA